TGCGGTGAACACCCCCACCTTTTCCCCTTCTTTGTCTTGTAATGCTGATGTTAAAGGTATGTTTACTAACGGTTCTGCACTGAAATTAAATTTTGAATAAAAGTATCGTTAGATGGGTTCACCATCATCTAAACGTCAACTGTTACTCAAGTGCAAGAGAAACAATTTCAAATCAGCAACCTGGCCTCGTGTTTTTCTGCATTAAAAGCAAACATCACATTGAGCTTGGCATTTTAATCCAAGAAGTGCAAATGCAGGAGCTGCAGTAACAACAGATTCAAAAGCTTCTGTTTCTTTTTTTATTATGATTTATCATAGAGGCAGAAGAGAATAAACACAGCAGCATTATTAAGTTGGGTAAGATAAAAGAGCTGTTGGCTGTAATTCTATTGTGTTCAGCGCTGACAACAATGTGTAGTGGTGGGGACAAAAAAACAAAAACAAACACTTACTCGCGTGTGACTGTTGCATCCTCCATGACTAGCAGCTACTGGCATCCAGACAGGGGTAAGACGACGAGGCGAGAGAGGACAGCGAGCAGGGAGTCAGCAGGAATGAGGAGGTGGAGGAGGGGGCGGAGTGACACTTTCCCAGTGAGAGGGTGTGCATCAGAGCAGATAAACCAGCAGTCAGATGGCTCGGCCAAAAGCTGTGTGACAGAGATAAGTCTTGTAGTTTTCTTCCGTCTGAGACTTTGCCGTGCACCCTGCTAATACAGCAAATGCAGACTTGGCAGATACACATCAGGGTGCATGAACATGAATGTCTGGAATAAAATAATGTGGATGCAAGCGCGCACTTAATACGAACACGCCAGCAGGTCAGAAGACCTCAAATCTTGCAGAAAGAACTGAAACCTACCAAAAACAAACTGAGAAAATGAGGGAAATGCAGTAAGCAGGAATTATTTTATTGTTTGATAAATGGTGGAAGTTAAGAATAAGCTCAAACAAGAGAGCAAACCTATTCTTTTGTTTGACCTGTGACTGATGAATTTAAAACCACTTACAGTAAATGTTACGCTTACCCTTAAGGTAGAAATACAAGTCTATAGAGTGGAGTGCTGGGAAGTGAGAGATACAATGAATTACTTGTGGTTTATGTTTAGAGGCAATGTGTTCATTTCCTGTGTTCTCTTATTGACCTTTATATTTAGACTGACATATTTCACGTCTGACAGCAGGTAACGAAAAGCGAAAGAGGGAAGCAAGCAGCACTTTGTACGTGGTGGAGAGACATGTAGTGAAACTAATGATGGTTTGGACGCCAAGACGGTTCACACAGAAATACACCCGAAGAGAAAAGTGAAGGGGAACATAGTAAATTACTAAAACATTATACTGTTTAATTTGAAGTCCACAGGATTAAAGCAATGCATCATTTTCTCATGATTATTTTCACTGTCATCCCTGATTAAGTCATTCTGTAAAAGCCTTTTTAAGAGATAGGCCTGAAGCTTGTGCTTTTCTGTCCACACTGGAATGTTTTAAGTTTACCTGAACAGTGGTCTCAGCTTGGATCTTTTTTTAAATCAAATTCCATGTCAGTCTATAACGCCAGCTTAGTTTTCTGGAACAAGAAGTTACCATCCTTGGGCAAGAAGGTAAGACTGGCAGGCTTGGCTAGCACCATGCACAAACACACATATCTGCCAATTAGTTCTGCATCACAAAACGATTGATTCCACTTACCTAAACCAAAACTTCTTAGATGGGGGGCAGAACTTGTTTCTCTGTGGAGTTTACATGTTCTCTCTGTTCCTGTGTTGGTTTCTCCCACAGTTCAAAAACATGGCTAAAATAACTGGTGTATCTAAAAAGGCCATGGATGTAAGGTGGACACATTTTTTTAAGTGTAAAGAATAAAGTGCTGCATGAATGTATAGTTAAAGTGTGACTTGTAGTTAAAAGCTCTTTGAGTGGTCTGGAAGACTAGAAAATAAATGTGATTATATTATATTACCTTTGCATCAACAAACACCAGAAGCATTACAGAATAATCTAAAAGGAAACAAATTACAGTCAATTTCTTCTGAGCTTACTGAGAGCAGAACTCAACAGAGTGGTTGAGGGAGGTCATAATATTAGAGTGGGAAATGTATTTACAAGTTCCACACATGCAAGATGTCCTGTTACTGCGTTGAGTGCACAGATTTACTCGCAATAAGCAATTTTTGTTCATTATTGATAGTTGTGAGGAATTTTGCAATCAGCGAGCATAGAGTTAAATTATTATAATGGTGATAAATATTGAATTCCAATTGAATTTTCTCACCATTTTCACTTTAAAAAGCTCTGGACTATATTGTGAAAGCATTAAATATGAGCAGCCTGTGGAGGTTAATTCCATTAAAAATGTTCCAAAAGGGACCAAAAGCACAAATGCAGTGAGAGCAGTTTTCAGGCCTGACAAACACCTTGGATGGTGTGCTGGGAGACCTGTCAATCAAATCTATTTCCATCAGATTTTTTCCCCAAATATTGCACGTTTGACATCTTAACATGAGACTCTCAGACTCAATTTTTCAGCTGCAAGATTGTTGGTTGATTCTGACAAAGAGGTAGAGTAACCTCATGCACAGTGTGTTTTTATATTTTGTTTTAGAACAAAGATTTGGTGAATTAACAGAAGAGATATTGGCTGTACAGTAGTTGGATCCAGGCTGCTTTACTCCTCAAATGACCTCTAACCTTTCACTATAGACATCTAGATTTAACTCATGAATCTTAATTTTAACACTTGACTAACACTAACACTTTAGCTCCCTGTGAGATGTGATGGAGTAGAAGCTAACAGAGGTATGAAAAGCACAGAGATCTCAAACATGCCCATAAGTATAAACCTTAAGTAAACATATTTTGTTTTATTGCGCAACTGCCAGCATAGGGGTTAGAGGGAGACAAACACCACAGAGGTTTAATGTTTCATAGGTTTTATTATTCATCTGGAAAAGCCAGACAAGCACCATCCACAGCTAGAAAACAGGAATGCTGTCTGACAGGCTGACAAACATAAGGGAACGATGCGCCTCACCTTGGATGTATAAAACACCACAAGGCACGTTACCCTCTGTATGAAACCATCAGGCATTCTGGAGGATGCAGGAGCAGTCTCACAACATAAACATACATCAAAACAGTGGTTTTCTGTGACGAGAATAAACTCTACAGACGATTTTAATATGGACACCGCTGACTGAGTTCCTGAGTCCTGCAAAACAGATGACAAATTCTAGTGCTGTCCTTGATTGCAACCATGACAAAAAAGGTCAAAACTTTTAGGATAAGTTTGCAGTATTTTGTTATAACTGTTTTGCAAAACTGACTTCTTAAGGAGAAAACTGTACCAGAGGGATAGCCCAGAGGCAGATGTGGATGTACTACAAATATAGAATTTGTTTTAAAGAAAAGAAGACAGAAGCCATCATTTTAGGTCCAGCAAGTTTCAGAATTTCCTGATGTCACACTCATCAGTTTACAAACAGAAATATCAATTATAAAACAGATACAGCTTTGAGTTGCTGCCCTGATGCTTTAAATCAAAATGAGTTGTTTTGCTGTAACATTTCTTGATGCATTTGAATCTTCAACAAAGCTCAACAACTACTGAACATGCCCCCTCACCTCTGTGTGTGTGTGTGTGTGTGTGTGTGTGCGCGTGTGTGCGTGCGCGTGTGTGTTCAATGTTATTCTAATGAACCAGATAAACCAGAGTGTCGCCAATGTCTACAGTTAGGCCGTTGTCAGCCAGAGTGACCTTCTTCTCCTCCAGATTGATGTTGAACACAGATTTGTTGGAGATGAGCAGTTTGCCTTGTTCCTCCTGTCCCAGGACAGGCAGCCGGCGAGGGCCGAGCAAAGGGTCCTCATACCTCATCAACTTGACTCTGGACAGATCTGGTGGAGTGAAGGTGGAAGGAGACAGAGGTGAGGCAAGACAGACAAGAAACATGGGAAACAAAACAACTGAGAAAATGCAGAAGTACTGGAGGTGGGATAGATAAACCAGTACAGAAACAGAAAGCTATGCTTGAGATTGGGGAAATTGGAGAATATAAAAGAAGAAGCAGGATGGAAAAATGAAAAGAAAGAGAGACTTCACTGAGATACACAGAAAAAAAAATTGAGATGAGACATTACAGGCAGAGAACAGAGAAGTGAAAGAAAACAGGCTACAAAGAAAATTGGGTCATATATTGAACTGTTCTAAGCCAACATTATTCAGTTTTTCTTTTCAAATCTGAAAGCATAACACAAAACTAAAGCCAAACATAAAAGACAATATGGAAACAGCAGAAGCAGAACCTCTCAAAAGGCAGAGTGCCTGGTGGTGCAATCACAGCGGAAAGCTTTCTCAAGCGGTTCGCACAAATTTGATGAAGGATGGCTGGGGGTTGTTGTGTTAGCAACACACTGGCAGAGATATTTGCCACAGTTTTAACGGCATGATATGGCTGTCAGCTGTCATCAGAGAGCTCACATAAATTAGCTTGGAATTAAAGATGACTGAAGCGAAGGTAAATGAACGCTCTACAGTAAGTGTCTTTGTGCAGAGACACTGAGGCTGTCTAAATAGCTGAAAGAGAGTGAAAGAAAGAGAGCGAGGTGGTGGATCATCCCAATGCTACTTTGCTCAGCAAAGTTGTTAATGATATGAAGGAAGTTGGGACCACAGTCACCAAGAATACCATTGGCAACACACTACGCCGTAATGGATTGAAATCTTGCTGCGCCTGCAAAGTCCCCGTGCTCCAGAAGGCACATGAGGTCATGAACTGTAAAATCTTGGATGCAAACCTCCTTCCCCCACGCTGGGTCTTCCAGCATGACAGTGACCCAAAACATACCACCAAGGCAACTAAGGAGTGGCTAATGAAGAAGCACATTAAGGTCATGTGACCTAACCAGCCTTCAGATCTCAGTCCTATAGTAAATCTATGGAGTGAGCTGAAGATTCAAGTTACCAAGCACCATCCAAGAAACCTAAATGATTTAGAGACTTTCTGTAAAGAGCAGTGGGCCAAACTCCCTCCTGAGATGTGTGCAAACCTCGTGACCAACTACAAGAAACATCTTACCGCTGTGCTTACAAACAAGGGTTTCTCCACTAAGTACTAAATCATGTTTGGCTTGGAGATCAAATACTTATTTCACACAATGACATGCAAATCAATTTATCACTTTTATGTAATTTATGTAAAGCTTGGGTTGATATTGTCTCTCTTTATTAAAATGAAATTTTCATAAAATTAGAGATTGTTTATTTCTTTGTAAGTGAGCAAACTTACAAATTCAGCAGGGGACCAAGAAATTATTTTCCCCACTGTATATTTAACCCCCTGTGATAAAGGCCCTTCTAGCTCAGTTATTCAGTCATGTTATTCTAAACTTTTCACAAATGTTAAGGCCACTGTGTACCTGGGGACATTTAAAACCTGAGGTATGGTTTCATACCCATCACACTGGCCCAGTCAATTCACTCTGTCACTCAAACCTTCCCCACTCCTATATGATTACAACAGGCTGGGGAAGAGTAGAAAAGATGGGTCAGAAAGATATAAGAAAGATATAAGACAAATGTGTGTTGAACATCGCATGATGTTGGTTAACTGAACCCAAATGCTTTCAACTAAACTGAGCAAATACTTTTATCCTCTTGATTTAGTCACTAAAAGTCATTTTGGCTTTATTTATTTTTGTCTTACTAACCTTTAATGAGTCTATTGACCTTGGCTAGCCTGCGGACGATGCTGTCTCTGCTGTCCCCCTGTCGGATGTCAACCTTTGTAGAAAACATGCCATTGCACGGCTGAGGGTTGACCAAGGACACAGAAACTCCAGGCTACGGGGATTAAAAAACGAGGAGAAAAGAAAAATGCAAAACTGGCTTTTTGATATGAGTATAAATAAAATAAATTTCTTTGTTCATCACTGGCTGCTGCACAAAATGAAATAGGTCAGTAAAATGAGCACAGCCATAAGGAACATATGAAAACTGTGGACAAATGTGTTAGTGAGGAAAAAAAGCTAAAAGTGATCCTCTAACACGCAAGTCTGGCCAAAGCTAATAAGCATTGAAAAGTATTTACCTCTGATCTGAAAACACTGAACGGTTTCCCTGGGCAACAGTCCTCCTTCACTTTGTCATCAGCCTCAGAAGCAAACAAGATGTCAATCTGCTCCAACTGTCAAAGAGAAACGATGGAGGGGAAAAAAGATAATCAGCTCAGCAGTGTAGTCCACAGGGAGTATGTTTACAGGTGCGTTTGGTTTGCACACTGGCAAATGCTGGGCATACTAACCATGCTACAGTAATGGGAGACTAGTTTGTACTTGGGTCTTTAAAGAAGACCACAAATGGCAACAGACAAAGTGCTTCTCTCCTCATCTGTCCTGTGATCTACAAGCCTATTTCAAGCCACACCAGTTAACCCACTTCTTAGAGTTGGTTTGTGAGTAAGGTAATGTATCACGCTTTTTTAGTCCTACATGATACAGCGTATTTCATTTCATTATGTCTTCCTTGTCATCAACTTATCTTTAGCTATGATCTATCAGAAACATGAGAATTTAAGCCGAGCTTTTGCTTTGATGTACATTAAGTGCAATTTTCCTTTTCTGTGGTTAAATCTGCTGGTTTCGCAGAAGTATCCTGGGGACTTTGGGCTTTTTTTTCCCCCCCTTTCCCCCCGCCTAGGCTAAGCTTTTGTGCAGACAGTGGTATTAAGGGGATTTTCTGCAGAGAACTGAGCTCAGGATTTCCTCAACTTACTTCTGCAAAGGGAGTAAAACTCAGCTTTAAAGCATCTCTGTGCGAGTTTGACATTTATGTGAAGACACACTGAACCAAAGTTCTGCACACTTTGCTGCACAGTTGTTGTCCAACAAATTTTAGACACCAACAACATGGGGTAAAGGTTGGATCATAAAGCTTACCTCCAAAGAATTAGTCAAGTAGACCAGGTTCTCCATGAGAACTGCTCGCTCATCAAATTCCAGCTCCAAATCCAAAACTCTGGGTCCATTCTTCTCCAGGTTCTCCTAAAGAAAAAAAGAAGATCCCATCGTACATGATAAGAATCAGAGCTATCATCACGAATGATCAACAAGGCAATGAATAATAACTCCATTGAGGAAGTGCAGAGGATTTCCTTGGTATAATTTTACACAGAAGCTGAGATATTTGGAAATATAAAAATTCATCTCATTACTGAGGCAATCGTGCTTTTGTTTATAATACAGCGCACACACAAAGTTCATTGCTATGTTGATGCCACCACCACAAGATTATCAAGAAACAAATGTTTATGAGCCAAAAAAGTTAAAAACAACCAAATAACGCAGGGAGATAAATCAACATGAAAGATACAAGACCAGCTTGAGAGACAGACTGTGGATGAATACAAAGCTCATCATGACTATTTATTAGCTTCATTCTTTTTGATCACTGCAGTGAAAGAGCGAAACCTGAACAAAGCCCAGAGCACAAGAGATGTGGCTTCTAAAATTTTAATAAGCAACAATGCTTCTGATCATTTATTAGCACCACTTGATCTTGAGTGAATATGTAGCTTTATATAACAGAAACAGCAACTGCAGGCATAATGTTATTTGTGATATTTGTATCATCTGGTGGCTACTGCTTTTAGAAACGTTTTTGTAACATGAAAGGTGGGGATGAAAATTGTAAATTAAGACATGTAGACCTGCGGCCGAGACAGTGAACATATTTTTTGTGGATGCTGCAAATAAATGGAAAGTGGCTGACACAGCCCATCAAAAGTGTTTTGTGTTCTTTTCAATCAATAAACACATTAAACTGTGCAGAACAAGAATTCCTGAAATTTCTCTGTAATGTCAGTGTAACACTTGTTCAGATTTTCCATTGTATTGTCTACAGTTTTGTTATTATTTAACACAAAGCACTAAAAAAAAAAAAAGAAAATAGCTTTTCAACTCCAATCTTCCCAACAAATTATCAGGGAAGACTTTCCACCAATCAGAAGTTGATCAGTGTGAAAAAACAGTCAACTTATGGGTTGGCTGTTGTGCAAGAGACTTATTACAAAGGAAATCACAAGTGAAAAAACGTCTCTGGAAAATTCCATCTATGTGTAAAGATGACAAAATGGTTTATGATCATTGGTGGAGAGTGGGCTGTGTACGTCTTCATAGTGAAACATTAATGTTGGCCTTTCAATATTTTTACCTTGATCATGGCTACAAAAGGCATGACTCTCTTCATGTATTTCTTCAGTTCTGGCAGAGCGCCTAGTTCACTCGCTATCACTTTGTTGTCCGGAAGGACCCCGTTGTTGGTCTAGACATAAAACAGGAACAGAAAAAGAAAAAAAGAAACAATTAATAAACTTAAACAAACAGGAGCATCGACAGGAAGACACAGAGAAACTGAAAGAATTCAATTACATAATCATTTAATTCTGAAATTACTGATTTACAGAAATAAGCATATTATTGCACCACTAGGCAGACCTGCAGTTCTTCAGCAAACAATAAATCTTCAAACCTAATGCTGTGAAGAATGTTGGGCTTTGTGTGTTCGTTCCCTACCTTGTAGTGCTTGCCGAGCAGGGATAAGGCACTGTGCTGCCATGGAGGGTAGCTCTTGGCCACGTAGATGGTGCAGTGGGAGGGCTTGGCTGGAGGCTTGGAGTCACCTTTCTGTTGGAAGGAAAACAGGATTAATGTTTGTGTTTATAAGAAGCCTTTCACATTCATCTTGTTTATTCATACATCAGGTCCACAAAACAAGGTGGCCTCAATCAGATTCCAACAGGGTTTGGATTATTCAAGGAAAAAAGTTAAACAAACAAAAAAGCTGTTGTGTGTGTGTGTGTGTGTGTGTGTGTGTGTGTGTGTGTGTGTGTGTGTGTGTGTGTTCTTTAGCAGACATAATGATCTGTGAACTTGTATTACATGACAGCTGACAATTGCACTGTATGTTTGTTTTCACAAATGTACCTTCATATTATATTCACAGTATGTAAAAAGTTGCACAGGTATTATTCTATAATGGGAAAATACTGGATATATGCGGCTGTGGGAAATGATTTTACTGTATGTTACTTGATAAAATATTCCATATTTTCTACGTGGGGGTGGGGTTTAGGGGGCCTGGAGCCTATCCTAGCCATCATAAAGTGAGAGGTGGAGTATACCCTGGCCAGGTTACCAAATTTATTTATTTATTTTTGTTTTATTACTTTTTGGTTTTATCATATTTTTAATTTTTTGTACATACTCACAAATCCCCTTTTCTGGGCAGATTTAGAACTCACATGCTAACAACATAGATGTTGCTGCTGAGAACGCTTATGGTATGAAAAAAATAACTATATTTAAAAAAGAAAAAGAAAAAAAAAACCTTTTCCTTTCTCCTTTTTCTTCTCTTTTCCCATCATCTTTCCAATCCTACCTCAATGGCAACAAAGCATTTCCAGTAAATCAATAACGGGGGCCTGGAAACCTGAGATATTGCCTGTCTTAGATGTTGTCAATACTTGTTTTGCTTTTCTCTAAGCTGCCTACAGCCACTTATTGAAGTGCGGAACTGTTAACAAACAATAGACTGGCTTTCCTGCTGTGAACACAGACATAAGCTCGCAAGTGTATCAGAAAGGATATAGGATGCTGCTGTAGAGTTACATCAGTCTGTTTTATGTTGCAACTCAAAAGTTACAGCATATCCACGAAGGCAAAGTGTACAGACAACTTCATATCTTACCTTGCTTTTAGGCGGAAGCATGTAGGCTTTGAGGCGAAGACGAAGGTCGTGAGCAGTTTCCATCAAATATTGAGAGGAACGAATCAGAACCTCGTCCACGGGCCCAGCCACAGGCCATGATGCCTTCATCAGAGAGCCAGTCTGTCAAGCAGAAATAGAGAAGAAAAAACAGTCACTTAGTGAGCAATGTAAACTTTTAAAAACTTTCATGGCTGGGCCCAGCTCCAGAATATCTGCTGGGACTGCTGTTCTCATACCAAGTAGTACACAGCCTCAGATCCTCAAGTAGAAACCTGTTAATTGTTCCCTCCTCAAGTTTAAAGACAAAAAGGCAATCAAGTGTTTGCTGTTAGCCCTGCCCAGGAAATCTGGCTTGCCTCATTAGTGTTTTCTTATTAATCATTTACTTAAAAAAAAAAAAGCTTTCTGAAAAAAAAAGCTCATATGTATATGAAATTGCAGTTAAATCTTGCACGGCCTATGCTAAATTGATTAGTAATTTCTTTTTAAATTTTCTCCTAGTTTGTTCTCTTACTCTGTGTTTCTGTGAAGCATTTGGGTAGCATTGGTTTTGGTAACTGCTACACAAACTTTAGTGTTATCATAACTACACAACCAGAGGTCACAATGGTATCATAACAGTGGCATGTGTAAGTTCTCTGTGTACCGAGTGCCTCTTAGCTCTTTAGTTAGTGGTAGTGAACACATGACTGAAGAACATACTGGTGTTGGGGCTTTTTTTGTTGCCTAGCGACAGCCAAAAACCCATTTCCATCACAGCTGCACTCCTTCATATTCATAAATTTGAGTGTTAAAAATATATTTGTCTCCCTGTGCTATTTGAAGTGTGCACCTGTGTGTGCATTTGCTTCATGCTGCAGTGAGAAAAAGATCCATAGTGCGAAGATATGCTCCCGGTGGATATGTACATCAACAGTGAAAAAGTCAGTAACCATTTCACACAGGTAATAAGCAGCGGGCCCAGAGCTACCCAGAGGTCTACCTAAAGCTGTAGCTTTCAGCTCCTTGATCCCAATTCTACTCATGAATACAAACAAACACTGGATGTTAAAATGTTTCTTTTGACTGTATTCCTGTTTTACTCTAAAATATACAAGACAGATAAGAACTAAGGACAGAAAGGAGAAGTTAGATATGAGTCAAGTCAGAGCACAGAGCCAACTCAGAGCCTGAAAACAGGAATACGACGCTAAATCCATGTGTTTCTTACCTTGCCAAGCAGACCCCAAGTGTATTCACAAAGGTGCGGGCAGATGGGGGCCAGCAGCAGAGTTTGCCTTTCTATGAACTGGAAGACAAGGTCTCTGTGCATGCCTTCGATGGCCAGCTCCCGATACTTATCTTTGGCTGCCTAAATACACACAATAAAACAACACAAGGTTCATCAGCGAAACTCGAGTCAGTCTCTTCTACTGATTTAACGATGACCGCAGTATCTGGAATCTAAATGCTCTACTACTGTTGTAGATTATGGGTACTTGAAATCATGCTACATTGTCTCTTATATGATCTCATCAAATTATTAAGGACTCTCAGAGGTGGAATTTTATCAATTTAATTTACCTGAAATTCAAAAAAGCCACTTTTCAAAGCCTCCTTGTACATCATCCTCTCATAGTGCTGCTCTGTCTTCAGGATGCCTGAATTCATCTCACTAAACAGGAAAGAAAATTATTTTTAAAAAATGTACTTTCAAAACATTTAACCACAATCAAGCTTTCGCCTTACATTTATTAATGCAGACATAGCTGTGGATTCTTTTGCTTTATCAAGGCTGAAATTCAATAAATTTCAGAACTTGTAAATCCTTTTCATTCCAGACACTTTTAAATCCTCAGACTACCTGGAAAAAACCCGATCATTAAAGGTGTCTGCAGGTCCCGTCCTCAGGTTGTTCTGGTTGGCAATCATCTCCTTCACCCATTCCACCCAGGTGTAGAGGCGCAGGATGCCAGCATCAGCCATGGTCTCTACAAAGTTAGCATCCTCCACTGTGTCTCCAGCATCCGCTAGAGCCAGACGCATACCTGAGAATGGAAATGAGAACGTGTTAAAACAGCAGAATGTACAGGTACAATATAATAGATGTAAAACTGATATACGGTCACTCTCACAAACGCAACTGCCTTTGTAATTTGCTCCAGTTTAATATCCAATTATCTGAATCCTCTATTCAGGACATACAATGAACACAGCACTTTTTTTCTATTCTGCAAAATAGTTCAACAAAAGGTGAAGTACAGAGGCTCTGTGGAAAATTCCAAAGCTTGAGAAAACGTCGGTTATTCAGCAGACATCCCTCCTAGCTTTAAGACAGGAACAACTTTATGTGTCTATCTGCTGGCAGACCATGAAGCTGTTTCCTCCCACAGCAGGATATCTTCTATAGAAGCATGAACTATCCATCTATTCTTCAGCTCACTGAAGATATAAAAAAAAAAAAAAAGAAGGTGGAAATTATCCATCTATCCATCGCTAACGTAAAGGAAAAAAGTAAACATATAGAGAGGAAAAACATAAGTCTTCAATTCCCTGTGGATAATCAACATTATACCAAACATATAAGTTGTAATGTTCTCACTTTCCAGCCATTTCTAAAAACACAATTTATCTTCCTCTTATATTCTTCTAAATATTTTATTTGCTTTTTATCTTTTGAAACCGCATTCCTTGAATATAATACATCTGTAAATACATAATACATGAATGATAGAGGCAATTCTTTTGCAACAACAAAACAAAATGTTGAACACTAATTAAAAGCTTCTCATCTTAGAACACACATTGATATTGAGAACATCATGCATTCTCTATTTTAAAGTGTGCATATTACATAATTATACAGAAATGTCTTACTTACAGTCCACTGACTGACCTGACAAATACAACAACTCATAATACTCAACATCAAAACCTCATTTTCTAATGAAAATGGGTTCATTTTCTAAACACCTTCACCAGGGGATAAGAGATGTTAACAATATAATCATCCATAACAGCCCATGCACTGGGAAAACACAGTTGAAATCTGTTCCAAATGTACACCTGAAGTGTTTTCTCCCAGGTTTCATGGTAAGATGAAAGCGCCATTGAGAAGAAAACTATGAAGAGGGAAAGAAATAAAAAAGACAGAAGGAGAGATAAATCAAGAAGAAACTGATTATACCGTCTGCTGAAAACTTGTCAATGGCTTGGCTGAGAGTGAGGAAATTTCCAGTTGATTTGGACATCTGGTCGATAAAAGAAACAGATGTTAGCAGCCGCAATCTTTCAGGTCTGCCCACCCACACAGTCTTTCTGTGTTTAAAACCACAAAAGAACCCAACAACAAAATACAATCAGCAGCAAAAACAGAAAATGGCATTCCTAAAACCATTCAGAACTTAAAGCTTATTTGAGAAATGTTTGGCTGTTATGTTTAAAATCTGTCGGTCAGTCAAGGAACACAAAAGATCCCATCAAATGAAACCAGAAAGAAAGCGAGATTTCATGTTAACCAGGTAACTTTAGCCCTAGCTTTCCTGGACTGTGAAGGCAGTTCTAACGGGGGGGACCTCTGTGCGTAGAGAGTAGCAGAGTCTAAAATTTTTCTATTGTATCTAATATCTTTGTATTTCTATGATGAGCATTAGTGGTCAAGGTACAGTGGTCAGAGGCTCTCAACGCCAATCCTTTCATGACAACAAGCACTTAGCTAGATTGGGAAACCCTGTGTTATTTTAGTGAGATGATAAACTGCTTCATGTGACCTGCTTGACTAAACTGACTAAACTGCAATAACAGAAAGATATTTTTTTATTAGTCCTTCATTTATCCAGGTAAAAAAAAAAATCTCATTGAGATTAAAATTCTCATTTCCAAGAGAGACCTGGTATCATGGCAACAAAATATCCTTGTTTGTTTATATATGGGGTATGTTAGACTTGGGGCATGGTACAGGGTCCTAAACTTACAGGGTTATAACCTAATAGCAAATTAAATGATTTTAAAGTAATACATACAGCTTAATACTTCACATACCTTTTCAGAGTTGAGGAGCAGATGTCCATTAGCTCGCACTGCTTGTGGCCACTTCCCGCTGTAAAAAAGAAAAAAAAGAGAGAGAAAAAAAAGTTTTTTTTTAGTGTTATCTTGTTATTTTCATCATTACTGCCATTATCATAGGGAAGTTTACCCAAATGCAAAGCTGAGCTCAGTTTATTAAAAAAAAAAAAAAACAAATTCAGCAAAACAAAAGGAAGATTGGCAGTATGTTAAAAAACATCATTATGACACTGATAACATTACACTGTATTGTGATTATTGATTTACATCTTAAATGGTAAAAAGCACAGTATTATCACATTCTGATAATGCAACATTACCAAAACCTTAAAAAAGGCATATAGTACCTGACATAATTATAAATATTCTATTACTGAATCTGAATTATTGTCATCTCACCTTACTCTTGTGTCACCGTAACATAATGTAAAAAAAAAAAAACAAACCCAAAACTTATTTTAACTTATGTACATAAATACAGAAAGAGTTACGGAAACTACGGCAAAATAAGATCAAATCCAGTGAGTCCGAGCCAAGAGTGACATCAAATAAGGGTATAAAACAGACTCAAAAGGACCGTTTCCATGGCAACCACTAGAAACTCCAAAAAGTTACTCATCTAAGCCAAGAATTAGACCAGTGTACCAGTCGTGAACTGCTGAAATGTTTTTACACACTTACTTTTGCATGTATTAAACTAATGGGATATAATGTGTTAATTAGAGCTCTTTAGAGATGCTTGTTGTGTTGGGCACACTTGCCAAAAATATTCATTTAACTGTCAATCACATTTTTATGGAATATCAGCTAAGTGGATGTGAAAAAAATGTCACAATTAGACTAGAGAACATCATTTTTGTAGCATGATAAGAGTGTCATTCAAAGCTGATAGCTGGAGGTTCGAAATTTTGTTTGTCGCCCCTCATTCCTGTCCTCTTTTTTTGTTCTGGTCAGTCCAGTGAGCAAACTTACTTGTCTTTGGGCCACATGGCCACATGGTTGTACAGGTAATATGACAAATGGTTGGGCACCAGATCTTTGCCAGATACACGGACATCCACGGGGTACCAGTACTCAAACTCCCTTCTAAGCCTCTGCAGATGCTCTTTAGGGATGTTGGTCTTAGGGAACGGAGAAGTCTTAAAGAAGATGAAGTCCCACACCTCTCTAGTCATCTGCTCTGGCCTGTGGTAGAGAAAAAAAGAGAAAAGACATAAATGAGGCTGGAAACAGAGACTTATTGTGTTCAAGTGAGGTGAAAAGAAGAAATTGAATGCTTGGTGTGACTGTGTGCGTTTTATATAATTCAATAGCTGACTGTACATGCTTCATTTTAATTTGACATTTATTTTAGTGCAAAAGAAGGGACGAGACTTAAATGAACAATGATTTGGAAATTACTGGTTTCTGCATATTTGTGTGCACATGCGTGTGATGCATCCATACTTGATGCCCAGTGGTGACTCTCCTTGGCCGTTAAGCACACCTCCCTGCAGAAGGTGGGCTACGGTGTAGTAAGCCATGTAGATGGTGGAGTCTGACAGGGACTCAATCAGCCACTGCTCGTCCCAAGGCAGTCGCGTTCCTATGGTAACCAGGGGATGTACACACACACACACACACACACACACACACACACACACACAAAGGAGAAAGAAAACCAAAATTATTCATTTTATGACAACCGACATCTCATCCGTTTTAAAACAATGTTTTCTTGTCAAACTGCACACACTGGTGCCAAATATTGAGGAAATGTAGAACAAAGTCTTGGCTTTACTGTGTGATCTTCTGTACACAAGCCGAAATGTAACTCTGTTGTCAAATAAACCAAATCAAACCAGACACCAAAGTAACTTGTGCTTTCACACAAATAGTTTGACACTTTTTTCCACAGATTATAGATTTTTAGGATTTTGGAATCCCTGTTTAGAAGAATTTACAAAAGATCGACTATTTAAGCAGCCTCAGATCAGCTAAACTCAGGTTGGTGACAATGTTAAACGTCTTACAGGCTAATTGTCTGGTAAAATGACTGGATAGACTTTGTGTTTTTTATTCTTAAAACATGTGGAGAGATTTATACAGTGAGGACCAGTTTACAGCTAGCCTAGACTGTACTGCAGTGTCCTGCGCTGAATGCCAGCTGGGCTTCAGTCTGCATCTATTCTTATAAAAACCATCAGAGATGGAGTGTTGCTAGGTGTCCAATCATTAGTCCTTTGTCTCCATCTATAGACCAAGAGCATCGCTCAAATACAAGTTCAAATCTTTATATAAAAAAAACTGTTTCCAATTAGACAATCATGATCTTAAAAGTGCCAGCAAAGCTAAAGATAAATAAGAGTGGTGGTTAGTTTTAAATATTTACTGAACACACACACACACACACTGAAACCACCTACCAAGACCATAGGTACGTGAGCAGGCATGCTCCTGCAGCCAGTCCAAAGTTGCCTCAAAGTTTCTTCTGGTCTCCTCACAAAATCTGTATGGTATTGCAAAAGAAACATAAAAACAAAACAAAACATGAATTAGACAAGACTTTGGACTGAAACATTTTATTTCCAGCATAAAGCTTATAGGCAAATAATAAATTGGTGTTCTGAACCTTTACAAGATCCCACCACAAAAACACTAGCAAAGACAAATTTAATATATAATGCAAATCAATTGCATCAGAGATCTTACGTTTCCAATGACTTCAGGGCTTCGTTGGCCTGCTGCTTCCACTCAGCATCCCCATAATCCAAATACCTGTGGGATAAACAAATAATATTTGCATAAGGCTTATTGAAGACAGTAAACACTAAAAATGTTTTTAAAAAGTTAAAATTACAAGAGTTTCATGACCAGAATGACTGAAACTAGTTTAAACTTAACCAGCTGTTAACTTTTTGTCACTTTGTAATTCAAAGTATCAAACACCAACAATTATATATATATATAACTTTATTTTACAGTTCCAGCAGCACTCACCACTGGTCACAAAGAGCCACCACACACTCGTCAGCTGAACGTGACATGACCTGCTTTTCTGGCTCCATGTAGATCATGGCTTCTCCCTGGAATACATGAAAATAGAGTCAATAATAATAATAATAATAATAATAATAATACAGAAATAAATAAACAATAACTTTTTGTGACTCTGCAAATAATTTTTTTTACCTTTTCAACCATCATCTTCTGGATGGGCTTCTTGACATCCTGGACCGTCTGGCCCTTGTAGCCTTCCACAAGCATGATCTAGGACAGAAGATTATTAGCAGAAAGTCAAACACACTGATGCACTGTTTGAACTATTTACAAGATTTACCAGCAAATGAGCTATGCCTCACAAATGGTTACAGAACTTCTTCTTGCTTCAGTGTTTAACGATGGTAAACAGAAGAAAACTACCTGAGGGTACCTAAAAATCCACAGACAGTTGATGAATGATTTAGGCTAGCCTTAAGCTTCGAATTACTTGATTTGTGCCTGGGAGATAAACAATACAAGCTTCAAACCTAAAACGTATACCTGCAGGGCTTTTGCAGACAGACTGCATTTTGTTAACTAACATAGATGCTTTGAATGCTAATGGCACTCACCCCTTCATAAAATCCCTTCAGATAAACCTTCTCCTTGGCTTCAGCCAGTTTCTCCTTGTCATTCTGGCTCTGAATCTTCAGCTCATCACACACCAGAGGAGCAGACAGGTTGCCATATCCTGGAATCTCAATGATAGGGATCTGCACACAAATAAAAGCACAATGACTTTGCATGGTGACACTGAATGCATGAATTTTGTGCAGCATAAGTAAAATGAATGGACTTTACTAGTTCAGCTTACCGGCTCAAAAGGCAGAACCATCTTGTCCTCAATTCCATACTTCTCCCGCAGCGCCTTTTATTCCAAGTCCAAGAAAGAACAGTGACATCAACAAAAAGGATGTGAGAAGAAATGACTACATTTTGCCCACAAAACTAACATCAAATTAAAATATTACGCACTTATGTGAAAGGTTCAGAAATTTTGAACTTATTGCTGGATGGTATCAGAACCTTTATATTTCTTTTGATTCTGATATGGAAATGGTAAATAAGTGTAGTGATTTATTGATACATCTGTACACATAAATGGAAATACAGCAGATAAGGCAAAAACAGAGTCTGCACAATTCTAATGAGCTATTCAATGCAACTTCAACTCTCTTAGGCAAATTTTCTTGTCGTTTCTTTAAGTAGCCTTCGCAAATAGTTCTCCAGGCTTCTTGGAGGACATTCAAAGCTCTTCTTTGGATGCTGCCTGTCTTTTGTTTTGTTCTCTGTTAGTAGGATCCCACAGGTTCAATAATGTTGAGCTCCGGGCTCTGGGGAGTCCATCACTTGACTGATGGCGTTCCACTTGGTTTTATTCATGATTAATTTACTGAAATGTGTCTGGGATCATGGTCATCCTAAAACATGACAACATTACCACAGAAAAAAACCTTTCTGGGTTTTTTTGTTTGTTTGTTTTTTTGGTGGATTAAAATGTCATGACACTTTTTGTATTCATCATTCCATCAGTTTTAACAAGATCACCAACATCACTGGCTCGAATGCATGACAGAGCCTCCACCGTGTTTTACAGATTTACAGCTATTCACACTCTCTGTTGTATTTGTCTCCTGACACCAAAATTCCAATTTAGATGAATCACTTCCTAAGACCTGCTGCCACTGATTCCATCATGTGGTGTAATTTGGCATACCTCAGCCTTTTTTCCCTGTTTTCTTTAAAAATGACATCTTGACAGCCACCTTTCCTGTGTCAGGTTTTTGCTGTAGTTTTTCACATTTCTTAAAGAAATGACTTTTAAATCATGTTCAACTGCTATAGATAATTTTTAGGACTGTCACTCCTTGTTGTGTTCTCCACTTGTCCAGATTCCTCAAAAAGCTAATTTCAGAACATACTGCACACCATGTCCAGATATGTTTTCCTCTAAAAGCTTATTGTAAATCACCTTGTTAGTACAAAAATAATATTTTATGACTGTGAAACTGTTCAATCATTAGCATTTTTTGTGTTTTCAGAACACGAGAAACTCGTTTTTTTGACAAGCTGCTAGTATCAAAAATGCCTGAAGTAACGAAGTTCTTCGATATGTTGACTGTCATGTGTAGACACAAAACTATTCATCCCTCGAGTTAGGTGCCTTTTTCCGCTTTGATCAGATCAGACAAAAAGACTGGATTAAAAAAAATGAGTGCAAAAGAAGTCAATATCCAAAGAAAAACTTTGAAAAATATAAAGAAATGCAGGATGGCTCAAGACCTTTTCGTAGGTTTATATCGTCACCTGTTTTTTCTTGATGTCCCTGAGAGCAGCAATGTCATCAGGAGCATCAGATGGTACACTGGTAACAACCCCAGTACCTAAGACAGACAGGAAAGACACAACAATGCATAAAATCTATAAAATGATAATGCAGTTTTTTATTCTTTTCCCTTACCCTTCATAACCCTCAGAAACATGATGACACAGGGGACATTTATTATTAAAATTGTGACATATCAACTTAGTCATTGAGAAATTCCAATTATTACTAACTCTACAGAGATTCATCAATAGGACAGATGAGTACAAAGAGACAAACTACTACCCTGGAGCAACACAGACAAGAAAAATAGAGAAGTCTGACTTCTAACAGAATAGAAACACTCTGCAATAAGGTCGATTTTAAATGATTGCAAATGTTATGTGCTGGAGGGAAACAAGAACTTATAGCATCCATCCTTTGACACTGCAAACAATGCTTCTGAATTCTACCTTGACCTTGTCCTGCTATTTTGAGTCCCAAGAATTTTTCTATATAGCTCAAGCAAAATAAGACAGTGTTATAAATGAGGATAAATCAAATTTCAGTCAGATTCTGTGCAGAAGACAGCAAGAGGTGGAAAAACTGAACTATTTAGAACTACTTGTGATTAGGGCTGTGCGATATGACCAAAATCTCATATCCCGATATAAGAATTCTGTCATCCCGATAACGATATAAATCACAAAAATCTAACATTTTCTGTAAATTCTGTGAATCTCGGGCAGCTCATGGAAGTGTTTCCAGCTGCGCGTCATGTAGCTGGAGTCCAGTGTTTTAACCAATGCATGAAACTATACATTTTTAGACATAAGTTGTAACGCCCGCAGTTTTCTTTGTGAGTATTTATTACACGGCGTGCTGCGGGGAAAAGCCTGTTCTAACGTTTGAGTCTAAGGTTTATTTTTTAGCAGCTGGCGCCTCTTTTTTACTTCTCATCCGTAAATAATCTGCTCTTTCACGTGATTCAGTTTATTTTGGAAAGTCTCAACAGGATCTTGAGCTTTATTGTGAAAGGTTTATGTGGAACATAAACAAGCGGACACGCGATGCTGTTACCATCATTGTTGCTAACCACAACGCATAAAAACAGGCGCTTGTCCATCTGTAGTGTGGTTATATTAAATATAAGAGAAAGAGAGAACTTTAATAAATTAATATAGTCACTACAGTGACCATCAAAACGATGAAAAAATATTACAGTAAACAGTTTATTTTGCGACACCACGAAACAAACGATAGCGTAAAATGAAACATAGACGTTTTTATATCGTCATCCGATATATATTGTTATATCGAACAGCCCTACTTATGATTGCCAAGTACATACCGTAAGAGAGGAGGGTGCCACTCCTCAGGAATATTCCTGCTGTTTTGAGTGCAATCAGCAACAGCGTCCATCTACAACTATGATGCTTAAATGTGAGAAATTTCCGCCTCAAAAGAAACGGCACAATTTCTCAAAAACAAAAATGTAATGAAATTTAAGCTACAAATCTAATCCTAGCGTTTTGGCTCATACCTTTATCCTCCTTGATGGTGAGCATAGGGAGAGCATAGATGATGTTATAGGAGGTCAGAGGAGCACTCAGGGCACAGCCGAGGATATCCTACAAAGACCAAAAAAAAGAAAAAAGGCCACTGAATTAGATACACGAACTGCTGGTTTAATATTAGATAGCATTTTATTTTTTATTCCACTGAAACTAAATAAATCCATCTAAATGATCTGAACTTATTTGCTGTAGCTGGAAGCAGCACATGAAAAAAGTAGTACCTGTCCCAGTACTTCCATTATTACTGGCACCACTCCATTTTCCTTGGTGAAGCCCTGGAAAGACATATTCCTGGCAGCCCTTCTGGTGGAGATGAAGACGTCCCCACTGGTTGTCTCAAAAGCAACATACTTCATGTCAGGTCTCACCCAGCAGTTGGTCTGACCAAACATGGTCTCTGGTCTAAGTGTAGCAGCCACCAGGAAGATGTTTTTGCCTTTCATACCGCTGTGGGAAGTACCGAAACTAAGGCTTAGTGACAGGATTTAAAAAGGATGACAGTTATATTCAAGAGGATTAAATCAGTCTTTCTTTGTAAACCTGTCATCTCCAAGAAAGTTTTGTTTTCTTTTTTGTGGAAGTACAGCATTAAGTATTTGTTACCTGCTATAAAAGACCTTGGATTTGAATTTTGCTGTGTAGGGTTCAACGACCTCCATCTTGATCAGGGTGTATTCCTGAGGTCCAACTCCCTATAAGTGAAGCACAAATGTTAAGGAAGAAAATTTGATAAATAAAAGTTCCTCAATCACTACAATTTAAATTGTAAGAAAGTTTTGTGGTAAAATAAGTAAAACAAACATTTTTAAGCATTTCCTGCAGTAAATCTGTGGTTAAATACGCCTCAACATTGTCACTTTATTAGGTATTAAGTCACTTTGAATGTGGCATTGTTGTTGCTGCTGTTATTAGTCTACTTGGTTTTTATGACACAACCATCTCTAAAGACAGAATGATCCAAAAAGTAGAAAACTGCTTCGACCTGATAGGAAAGCAACAACAACTGAAATAAGCACTTGTTACAGACAGAAGGACATCTCTGGATGCACAACATATCGAAACTACGAAGCAGAAGACCACATGGGGCCCCACTCCTGCTAGTTCTTGTTCTGACAAATCTGCAGCAACTATGTGATGCTATCATGTCAATATGGATGGGGCCAACCCTGACACTAGTGAGGTGTACCTAATCTTAAACAATACTACAGTTTCAGAATAAATAATTTTTTCTGTCAAGCTGAGGACGTCTACCTCTCCTGTCTGTCTGTCATGGTCCATGCATGGTTGTCCATCCTTGGGACAGTAGATAGTATACCTGCAGGGGAGTTCAGAATAGTCACGATATAGACTCAATAATATAAACAGAATATACAGACTCAGAATAGACTCAAAGAAGACTAAAAGGAAGACATCAAATTAAACAGAATTGGGAAAGAAAGCCACTTGAAAAAAACCAGTCATATATAAACTATGATGATTTTTTCCCTATATCATTAAAAAAAACCAAACCTTGTGGTAGACGACAAGAAAACCTGAAAGCATCTCACCTTTTACCAAATTTGATCTTTTTCCTCTCTTTTAGAGTAACAAACTGCCACCTGACAAAGGAGTCGTAGAAGGGGTTCACGTCTGTGGTGATGAATGAACGCCTCCAGTCCACCTATGAGGTAATGACATAACAGCATGTCAGCACAACTGAATAAATTCAGTGCCTTCCTTTAGCCATGAAAACATGGATGCATCAATGTCACTGTACTTTTTGTGTCTCTTATTTAAAAATTACAATGTTTTGCCACATGAAACTGCATGAATGTTTAAAAGGTATGTGCAGTTTAGTCTTAAAAATAATTTTAATCAAACCACAGAAAGATAAAACAAACAAACAGAGAAAGCCACCTTGACTCCCATCCCTTTGAGATCTTTGACAGCCAAAGGAGGGAAGTAATCCAGCCAGTGTTCAGCATCAGCAAACTTGACAATCTCCTGGTCAGTTAAGCCCAGAGACCTCATGATGTCCCACTGGAAAGCGGTGGATCCAGATTTGGCCACTGCTTTACTCTGGCAAAGAAACAAGAAAGAGATTGCAGAATGTTAACAAACTTTCTTTTATCTGAAAAAATGAAGCCATACACTACTTAGATAACAGACTAATTTTTTACACCTTCAAACCAAATTTTATGGTACTGCTTTCATCTTAACTCTGCAAATTCTGTCCTGGGTAATAAAGGCCTTAAAAAAACAGCTCAAGCTTTTGTCATAATAGCATAAGTATAATAAATTCATTTTGAAAATAGCATTTCTGCCCTGTGATCCTAACCCTTTTGCCCTTTGCTTTGTCCTTGATAATGATTTCATCAGATGTTGTTTGCTGTTGTTTCTCTTCTTCCTCCTCCTCTGGAAACTGTGGAGGGTTTCCATACAACTCCATCTCTCTCTTCAGCTTGTCTGCACAGGCCTGATGGATACAATTATTGATTAAAAATATCAGAAAAAACACAAAGATCTGTTTAAGAGAGATGGATTATGACAGATAGATAGTAGCATAAAACAGTTATGTTAAAAGTTGATTTTGGGACAATAAGAACAAACTGTAATTGCATGTTTATATGATGAAAAGTGACAAGATTATGTCAGATTATAGACACCAAGAAATCTTATGAAAAGTTTCTGAATAAAAAAAACAAACCCAACATTACTTACTTTGATCGGCATTCCTGTACAGTGCAACCCGAATGGAAAGAGGCATTTCTTTCCCTTAAGAGACTGGTAACCAACAGCAAACTGCAGGAAGACAAATGAACAACAATCGGTAAGAGACCACATATCAAATTTCTCAATCTTAACTTATTTGCAACAGGTGGTGACTCAGGTCGATGTCTGCCTTTAAACTTACCTCACATTTTGAAAAACTGAATGTATGGCCAAGGTGCAAACGGCCATTCATGTAAGGATAGGGAAAGGTGACCAGGTACTTGTTTTTACTAGAAGGTAAAAAAAAAAAAAAAAAGGTAAGGTAAAAAACAAACAAACAATTTAGCTGCAACCCAACAGGTTTTCCCAATATTGTAGTGTGAACTATGAAACAACATCAGACAACATAATTCAGCAACAAAAATGTACTACATACCTATTACAATATATTTAGTTCTACAAGGAAGTTCTACAGAAACTACTTTCACATTCCAGTGTGCTGCAAATCTTTGGAAATCTTTCTTTATATATGGGCTTACAGTTGCATATTCTCTATCTGGAACAATTTGAGAAATACTGTAAAACTGTTCAGAAAACTGATCACGTAGTTGTTCTTGAAAACTGAAAAGATACTCACTTTGTACTTTCCCCGACTGTTGTCGGTGCATCTTGCTCAAATGTTCTCTCCCTCTCCCATTTCTCCTGGATTTCCAATTCAATCTTTCTCAGGAAGTCCAGCTTTGCTGTTCCTTTCCGCTCCTGAAATGTACCGTCGAGCAAATATGAATGTCATAACAATAACAGCCGCAATATCCAGCTTAACAGAGTCAGACTTTTTTATTTCTGTAATTGTCTCAACAGCTCATGTTAGCTAACTTTGCTAACAGCCACATTGAATTAATGCTCTAAGGCAGAAATTTTCTTTTTTACAAAAAACTAGCATCAACCATTTCATACTGCGAGTAATTAAAAGATTGGACCTACCGTCATTTTGTCTAAAACTGCAAGTAATTAGTTATACTGTTCAAAAAGAAGAAATAGTGTCTAGTTTGACAAGAGAAACCCACGCCACCGGTGCCTGGCTGATGACACCGTTCGCTTGGTTTTCTGGGAAATGTAGTCCATCTGACTTTTCAGACGTATCTTAACCTATCTGTTGTATTTGCACATTAATTAGAATAGCTAAGATTTATTAATCTTAATTACTTTGATAAACAAATACAAGCCCTCATATGTGCGGCTTTTTTTTTTTGTTTGTTTAAATGCATAATAAACATCCGCCGTCGTGCTTGCGTTACGACAATTTGACCATGTTGCCATGCCGTAAAATATTTTGTACGACCTGCCTGTGAAGAGAGACAGAAGGCCTTAAAGCTTATAAATTTATAGACGATGAAAGTAGGGTTGTCAAAACGCTCTTTCTTTTTGTAGACAGTATTGTAGTCCTTCTCACAATGATCATAGAAAATGTTGAAGCCTTGAAATCGTGGCTGGCAAAGCTCCTGGAGCCGATGTGAGTATTGAAATGAAATGACATTTAGCGTGCATGCTACGTAGCTGCTTTAGCCTGCTAGCCGCTGGGTTAGCCTGGCATCAATGGAAGATTCTTGCACGAGTAGCTAACCATCGCTTGTTGGCCTTTCGAGGCACAGAGAGGCACTTTTACTTTTCATTAGTAATGATTGTGCATGATTTAGTGAGTTTGCTTGCGTTTGATGCACTGCGAATTCTTGATTCTGACACTATGGTAGTTAAGAACGCAGTTGGCGCACGGTAGTGTAACTTTATCACAGTTCTGTAGCAAGCTCCTAGCCTTCAACGTGTAGCCCCTCTTGCCTAAAACAGCTGTTGTATCTCTGGGAAAAGTTACTAATTAAAACTGTAGCTATTAGCTCGACATATTTCATAGTTAAATGCACACAAAATATTTTGCCTTTGGAGTTTCCATAGTAACACATGCTTTGTAAGCGTTACGCTTTGTCTGTTTTGCTAACGCGAGATCCTAAAATTCTTTTAAATATGTTGACGAGCTCAAATGGGTAATGGAGTGCATTAAAGGATTTAAGTTACCCCCTCCCTCTCTTTTTTGTGCTGTTGGGACAACACACAGTCACTGTTTAATCAACTAATGGAGTAACTCCACAATATTATCGTTGTGTGTCCGAGGTTCATCCTCTAAAATAAGGAGTTTTTTGCATAGGGGAGAAAAAGTCCTTGCAAAGCCAAAGTGAGGCGTATTTAAGCTGCTTTAACTAAAGGCTGGAGTTCAAGTAGGCATAGTTTCATTCAAATTGTTATTACATTTATATTGTTGGTAATTATTAATCATTGGGAATTTCCATGGTCAATGATCCTGTAGTTAAGGGTCAAATTTGACTGTAGCTTTGGTGAGTCAGCAGTTAATTAACTACTAGCAGCTTGTTGCTTGAACTTAGGGCTGTTCGATATAACGATATATATCGGATGACGATATAAAAACGTCTATCGTTTCATTTTAGCTATCGTTTGTTTCGTGGTGTCGCAAAATAAATTGTTTACGGCAATATATTTTCATCGTTTTGATGGTCACTGTAGTGGCTATATTAATTTCTTAAAGTTCTATTTTTCTCTTATATTTTATATAACCACACTGTGGATGGACAAGCGCCTGTTTTTATGCGTTGTGGTTGTTTATGTTCCACATAAACCTTTCACAATAAAGCTCAAGATCCTGTTGAGACTTTTCAAAATAAACTGAATCACGTGAAAGAGCAGATTATTTAAGGATGAGAATTAAAAAAAAAAACAACCGCCAAAAAAAAAACCTAAGAAAAAAACATAAGAAAAGACATCTACCCGCAGCACGCCGTGTAATAAATACTCACAAAGAAAACGGTGGCCGTTACAACTTATGTCTAAAAATGTATAGTTTCATGCATCGGTTAAAACACTCTACTCCAGCTACATGACGCGCAGCTGGAAACACTTCCCGCAAGTCGAGCTGCCCGAGATTCACAGAATTTACAGAAAATGTTACATTTTTGTGATTTATATCGTTATCGACGATAGAATTCTTATATCGGGATATGAGATTTTGGTCATATCGCACAGCCCTACTTGAACTTGTTAGGAAGTGTTTTTGTCAAGGCTTTTGGGGGGGGGGTTCGGTTCCAGTAGTTCCATAGCTGACAGTCTCGTAGATCTTTTAGCTTGATTTCTATTTTTTAAGTTTAAAAAAGCAAATGTTGTGTAAGTGGAACATTTAAACTTTTAAACTCATAAATTATTTTGAAAAAGTGCAGGTAAACGCACTGAAATCGTTTTACCAGGCTTTATATTAAATTTTAAAAAGGCATTCGTGCTCAAACTGCAAAGATTACTCTGCAGTTAATTGATTTATTGAGCTTCATAATGCATTGGTCCAGTGCTATATGTCTGATAACTTTGATACTGAAAACCAGCCACAGACTTTTACTTGCATTTTGCAGTGAAGTATAACAAATTCATCCTGTCAGTTTGCATAAATACAAATTACTCTTAAGAAGACAGCGGTGGTAACTGCAGAAGAAGCCATCTAGTTAAGATGCATACATCTTTTCCCTAGGAGACTGTAATGTTTCAAACATGTCAAACAAACTCAACCATTGGCTCAGTTTAAAAGAATAAAATAGGTTTGATGGCTAATAACTATTGTGAGCACATGATGCAAACTGCAGCAAAACTGTATACCAGTGAGCATAAGACGATAATGATCGTGTTTTACGCTTTATGGGCTCTGAAGCTTACATATTTTGTTGTTTTTGTATTTTATTTTGTATCACTTTTGTTTTCCTGTACTTAATTTATGTATTATTTTCTGCATTCATTTGTGTGTTACTAGTTTATGGAACTTAGTTGATTTTGCAGCTGTCTGTCTTGGCCAGGACACTCTTGTAAAAGATATTTTTAATCTCAAGAGTCACATTTTCCTGGGTAAGCAAAGGTTAAAAACAGTGTAGATAACACTGAGCTTTTTTAATTTTTTTTTTATTTGAAAAGCTAGCAGTAAGTTAGACAGACACACCTTGACATGTCCCTCATTTTGTCTTGACATTTAGCTTACTTTGCAGGAACATCTGAGCATTTTTTTTATGCCCACAGAAAGGGTGACCAGAGTGACCAGCTGTAACACAGTGAATTGCAATGCTTGTGTAAAAAGCCAAACCACAACGACACTTCAGACATAGTCACTGTCCTATGTCATTTCTTTCACATGCTCAAAAACCCCTACATTGCATGCATTGTAGCACATCAGAGTTTTCAAAGAATGGTCATCAAACTTAGTTGTAATCATAATTAAATTTTAAGCTATATTACCAATGTTAAGAAATGCTACCATGGAAACCTGTACTCCTTTCCTTCCTATAAGAATAATAACCTTTCTTTTACTTTATGCATTTGGTGGATTGTTTAAGTTTTGTGGCAATGATCTGTCCCCCTTTGAATTTTACGCTTTGCATACATAGATATGTAAATGAATTTGATATGCATTATATTTCAGTTGGTTCAACTAAAACATTTCTCTCAGTTTTAACAGTTTTTTCTTATTAGATATATGAATGAGTGTGTGTATAGATAGATAGATATGTTTTAATATATACATTTTAATCTGCAGATGTGATGCTGACCCCTCTGCATTAGCCAACTATGTAGTTGCTCTTGTGAAGAAGGACAAACCAGAGAAGGAACTGAAAGCACTTTGTGCTGATCAGCTTGATGTCTTCCTACAAAAAGGTATACATTTTATTTTATTTATATAAAGCTTTTCTGCTAATGTGTCAGCAGGCAATTTTGACATTTTGTAGCTCTTCCTGGTTAAGGTGGAGGAAAAACTTTTGCTCCATCATTAAGCTACCAAGGGATTTATTTGTACTCCCCTTGCACATGTCAGACAACAGAGGCTTTGCAGTTAGGTCACAAATCCTTTGGGAATCAGACCTGGTGGCATTGTCGAGGTCAGTGACTAAACTGATTATTAAAAATTAGTTGCTAAGTTTAGACAGATCAGAAGTTTTTTCCCTGCATACAAAAAATGCAGTACCCCTGCAGAGGGGATTTAGTTTTCTTTTTTCCCCTCATATGCCACCAAGACTGTACTATATAGTTTAAGTAGCTCAAACATGGAATACATGTGGTTATCATAAATAATATTGAAATTATGCAACTTGTTTGATATAGTAAAACAGGCTCTTTGTCTTAACAATGTTAAAAAACTTGATTGAGGCTAGAAAATGACCAATATGGAAATAAGTTGATCAGAAGCATTTGATCCAATTGATGTGTCGTCTTGGCTTCCAATTAAACTGATAATGTTAGCCATTACCTGCAACACAAACTGCTTTTCAGCCCCCAGAACTCATATGTATTACCCATTAACAGTCACACTGATGTAGCCTGCATTCTGTAACAGGCCATGTTAATGAAATATCACCTGTATAAATATAGTGAGGCAGGCAGAATACAATGAAATGTATAGAGTCTTAAATTTGAATTGGAACATTAGCAATGCTATCTTCCTCGTGGATGCCATTTGTGGACCCCACATGTGGCCACCAGAGGGAGTGTTGCATCGTTTGATAGTGACTCTGTATCCAGTGTGATGTGTCCTGATTCAGTCTCTTTATTTTTAGCTCTACACTATTAAAATTAGTTTAGGGGTTTAATTTAGTTGGAAAACATGTTGATGGTTATTACATATGTCTCCTGGATCACTTTAGAGTTTTTTAATGTTACATTTTTTTAATCAGGTAGCTTTCCCACATTTCATGGATGCAGTGTTCATATGTGTTATTTTTTATGTGTGTGTTATGCTTTTAGACTTTTGGCCCTTTTTCACAAGACTGAAAACTGCATGCAGTTTTTAATGTGTTCTCGTGATTAATTTTGTCCTTGCAGAGACGATGGGATTTGTTGATAAGCTTTTTGAATGTTTGACGACCAAGAACTACCTGGGAAATCCTGCTGCCAAGGAAACTCCCAAAGAGGAGATTAAACTGCCTGCAATCAAGGCTGAAGTTGTTGAGGTACACCCTGAAATTGAATAGCTCGCCTTTTGAAAATGAGTGTGCGCGCACACACACACACACACACACGCACACACACACGCACACACAATTTTTTTTAAACTGGTTGAGTGGTTTTGTTGGAATGGGCATTTCAATTTGAAATCAAAGCTTTTGATAAAATCACTTATTTTGAATGCTTTTTTGTTTATTAAGGCTACGTCCACACGTACATGGGTAGTTTTGTAAACTGAGATTTCTCATTTTCATTTAAAAAAAATTAAAAAATATCTCGTCCACACGTGCAGTTTTCTAAAATTATCTCCGTCCACATGTAAACGCAGAAGTAGCTCACAAAGAGCCAAAGTGAAATCCTCGACCTGTGAAAATTATCTCGCCATTCTTCTGGAAGAAACACGTGTGAAAGAAAGGCCCAAACACATTGAAAAAGCTACATTTTTAAAAATACCCATGTATTTATGGACCTAGCCTAAGTTTTAAAGTTATATTATAGCTGATGTTTTTTGTTTTGTTTATTTTGTTTTTTCCCCTCAAGGCTGAAACACCCGAGGAAGAGAACAGGCGAAGGAGAAGTCCTCTGAGAAATCGCTCTGACTTCAATGAATCCAGGTATATGGCTTGCATTTAACTTTGTCTTTAGAAGCAGCTAAAACATTTGCAGGTAGGACACACTTGTTGAACTGTTTAGTACATATTGATGTTGTGTAGTTGTATAGCGATCTTACCAAGCAGCTATATTTCCAACTCTCCGAGTCCTGCTTTTGGCTTGATTAGGCCCTCGTGTCCACTAATGTGTCCCTTGGCTGTGGCATATCTAGTGTTGGGTGCAGATGGGAGAGTTCATTCACTGATATACGATAATTAACGTAATTTGAAAAGAGTTACGTCTTTAATATGTTTAATTTTCTGCATATTTTTAGAAATTAAGTTGTCATTAATTAATTTTTTTACTTTATTTTACTTTCTTGAGCTTCTGCTGTGAAAAGCTTCTGTTAATGAAACTAAGCACTTCCCAATAGTTTTAACACAAACAGCCCATTTGGGGACTTAATTGTGCACACATAAAACAAAGGTAATTAAGCCTTTCCCTAATAACTTGTTTCAGATAAAAGCATACTTCTCTCAAACAAAGATCATTATTTAAGGGTTCATGTTATGTTAAAGACACACAGAAAGAAATGATCCTTGTGTCTTCATTTGTTATAAGAAGACCCACATTCGTGTCTGAAAACCTGTGAAGTATTCCTGTGTGATTTATACATTTAAAATCAGCAACGCCTCTAACTTCTCATCATCCACACAGGAACCGCGATGAGAGGAGGCGAGACGAGCGCAAGCGCCGTGACTTTGATCGGCACGGGAAAAGCGGCAGCGACTCCCACCGGGAGCGCCATGAGCGGCGCAGGGGCAGTCCCCGCGGGAGAAGCTACAGCAGGAGCCGCAGCCGGAGCGGCAGTCGTGGAAAGAGCAGGGATAGGGAGCACAGAGGAGGCAGAGGTGAGAAAGTCCCCCCTCCCACAACCAATAACAACAACAGCACAGGGGAACAAAGATTGAGGCGCGAAGAAGCTCCCGAATCTCTCGTCAGCACTGCTAAACGGTGCATTAGTGACGGTGACGTGCTGTTGGAGACATGCTGGTGTGAGGCGCTTTAGATGAGAAGACTTGTAGAAATTACGGATGTAGCCGACTCTCGTTTTTATTCCTGTCGGATTGTTGGACAGTGTTGCTGGGAGTTGGTAGAAAGGAAGGGAGAATGTGGACAGCTTTGCAGTCCTATCACTGGGGGTTCAACAACATGGGTTGGGATTGGTCTTCTTACCACCAAGGTTAATCTGCTCATCTTTGTCATTACAAGTTTCCCTCTTTTTGTAATCTATCATTTAATGTAGTGCTTTTAAAAGTCAGCTATGATACAGTACACAATGATTTATGTGATTTACTTGTTTTCAACAGACTTCAAGTCAAAGTTTGAGGCAGAAAGGAAGGACACTGACGGATACAACTCTTCCACCACATCTGGCTCTCAGCAGCAGCAGCAGCACCCGCCACCTCTCCTGCCCTTACACACACCTCTGCATCCCTTTTCCTCTTCTTCCTCGTCTTCAGGAGCTGGGGGTGTACCGGTAGCAACACTGGCTCACTTGCCCGACAGCACTACAGACAGCTGGTCTAGCTACTACGGAACGAGGCAAGATGGTGTTTGCAAACCTTTCAGCAAGGCTGCTTCACTCAAACAGCGCTGCAGGGATTACGATGGTAGGAGCAGAGTTAATCATCCTGTTCTCAATTCCTTTGATTCCTTCTTTCTGTCATTTCGTGTGTCTGTGTGTCTTTTATTTTATTTTTTATTTTTCCATCTGAGAGCCTTTTATCTGCTACAGCCCAGTAGCATTAGGGAGATGTTTTCTGTGCATTTCAAAGGGGATCAGAGTAACACTGAAGCTTTTTGATGCGATTTAAAGGAAATGTTAAGTTTATGACGGCTGTTGTACAGTTTGCTCAAGTCTCTAGTTTAAACACTACCTTTTTCTTCCCCTGAGGCTTCTGTGCCTTGTTTGGTCTCTTCACTAATGACCACTGCTTAGCACTCATCCTCTTGTCCCCAGTGAAAGGTAGAAAAGCAAGCTGGTTCCCTCTCACTCCCCTCTACACTGTGGCTCAGGAGAGTTTAAACTTACCCACTGTCCCTGAAGTACACTGCTTTCTGTCACCGTGCTCAAACACAGCCACTTGGGACCCAGTTCCTTAATGAGGCTTTGGTGTAAATACATGAACTGTGTGACTTGGCTGCTTTAAACTCAGATGTTTATTCATTTTGTTTAATTCCCATGAATTTTTTATGTTATTGTGTGTGGTGTCTTTTTGTTTGTTTGGCTTTATTAATGCGTGTGTGTTTTGTGACTGTAAAGCAGCAGTTTATATAAACTCCATGTTGTGTACGATATTTATGAATAATCGCTTCTCTCCCTCACACAGAAAAAGGATTTTGTGTCCGTGGTGACCATTGTCTCTATGATCACGGCAGTGACCCCCTCATAGTCGACGATGTCAATCTACCAAATATTATTCCATTCCCACCCCCACCGATTCTGCCACCCGCCGGGCTGCCCATGCCCCCCATCACTGAACCACCTCCCAACCTCAGGATGCCTTCTATGCCGCCCTATGGCCAGCCACCACCACCAGGTGTTTTCCCTATGACAGGTGAGTATTAATGCTCCTCTAATCCATAAGTTTGTGCTTCATCATATTGCGAAGTTTTACAATTTGCATCTACAAAATAGTGAAGCCAGAAGAACCGTGTTCCTCTCTCAAACATTTGGTTTTGTGTGAGACGCGTTGTTCTTCCACTACCCTTTTTCAGTCTGGTCACAATATACATACCTTTCCTTTGGCCTGTAGTATCATTGATTTATGAAGATATTTTTGCATGAGTTTCCCCAATGTTTGAGAGCTAACAAACATCTCTTTAATATAATAGAAGTAGGATTAAATCATAAATCGTTTTCATTTAGAAACAATTTTGTCCCCACTCACAACAAAATCCAGCTCACTAATATGGTAAATAAATGGTAAATGGCCTGTATTTATATAGCGCTTTACTAGTCCCTAAGGACCCCAAAGCGCTTTACATATCCATTCATCCACCCATTCACACACGATGGCGATGTGTTGAAAGTGTAGCAGGTCACATGTAAGACATCGGGGCCTCAGTAATGTGACACTGTACTCCTTACTCTGATGGCTGATTTGACGACACCAGAGGTTTTAAATATGTAAAGATTCAAATGAACGGTATATTGGAATGAGATGTCACCACTCTGGTGTGTAGAAAAGCAGCTATCTTCAATATTATATGTATGTATACGTGTGAGTGAAAACACTTGCCCGACTTGACAACGTGCTCAATTGTAAAGAGTTTTTGTTGAATTTCTCAAGGGAAGAAATCAACCTGTGCAATCTTCCTGCCTTTGAGTTGCACTATTGCCGATCAGTTTCACACTGGCTGTGTTTTGTTTTTGCAAATCATCATGATGATTTAAAAAGTATGTATTTAAAGTAAAGATGTATTTAAATCCAAAGCTCAAAAATCTTATGTATCTACAATATGTTTAGAGCAGACGTGCTACACAGTAGATAGCTGCCCATTGATCATAAACAGTACATAAAAAAATATTTTGCCTTTTTTTTTCTTCTTTTTTTTTTAAATATATATTTCAAACATGGGGGGTGATGACTGAAACATTTGACCTGATAGGCTTTTATTGTTTCAGCTACTTTTTAAGGCTGTTAAAGTTATGAGATTTCTATCTTCTATCTATCTTGATAAATGGATAGTGTGTCATAAAGTTTAAGCAAATCTATCGAGAAGACGCCGCAGTTTCCTGATGCATCTGCTTTTATATTAAAGCAGTCAGATTTTCACTGAAATACTTCTTTAATACTATACATGTAATATACTATATAGTCATTGCAATTTTGCATTTTGTCATTTTCTTACTTTTTTTTGGTAATTTTTATTTCATTTTGATTTTTTGGTTTTGATTTCAGTTGAGTTTCATTTAGTTTCCAGAGTTGATTTTTCTCATTTATTAGTTTTATCGCTACATTTAGGTTTTGTTGTTATATTGACTCCATTTTATTTCATTTTAATTTTCCCAGTTCACAAAAAAATTTTAGTTGGTTTTAACTTTCTTTTTTGTTTAATCTAGTTTTTAGTTTTCATTTAATTGACTAATTTATTTTCTTTCACATCTAGTTTTAGCTTTTAGTTGTAGTTAAATATAATGACCTTTTGTACCTGAGACATCAGCTTGGGCTTGTGTCTCCCTCAGGACCCCCACTGATAGCAACCAGTGGGATTGATACCCCCAACCACCAATCTGCAATCACTTCTTCTCCTCCCGTCGGACCGCCTGGTGTGGGCCGACCTCCTACACTTCCTCCTCCTCCTCCTCCACCTCCTTCCTCGACCTCATCTGTGTCTCTTCGTCCCCAATATGTCCAGTCTGAATGTAAGCAGGGCTGCTTTTGCTTTTCAGATTGGGACTGTGCATTTGGAAGAGATTTTGCTGTGTTGCTTTTTATTTGGGTGTTCCTTTTAGTGTGTTTATGTTGTTGAGTTGTTACTTCTCATTTCTGTGTGCTTTAATAGTTACAGTATAATAAAGGTTAGTTTACTAAATATCTAAAATAACTCAGATGGTAAGGGTTATTTAAAACAAAAACACCTTTTGGTTCTGTTTCCGTTTCCTGTCACTGTAAAGTAGTTGTTGTATGCCGTGTGTGTGTTTGTGTGCACAATTGGCATGTGTTTCTTGAGCCTGCAGTAACAGTTGTGGACCAGAAGGTAGCGCTGTGTATTAACCTAAAAACAAAAAAACCAAGCATCTCTGGGAAATTTTGTCGTGACTCATTTAGTTGAGTGCTTCCTGCTATGATTATGCACATGAGGGTTTCAGTTACAGACTCTTTAAAAGACTTTAAAGAACTAAAAAGAAATTGGTCTATTTGGTATTTGCAAACTTTGGGTTTGTGATCTGTTACCACAACTGCCGTGAGGGCCTCTTTCTGATAATTTTGCACTTGTGTCACAAATGTAGATAAGAATGAAAAGCATCATCTTGGTTGTTAATTTTTATCTTTGTTTGTTTCTTGCTGGGTTTTTTGCGCACTTACAATAACTGTAATTTTTATTTCTCGCATTTTGTAGGTTTTGTTTATAAATTTTATCCTGGACTACATGTTAAACTCATGTCACAGGTTGCTACCTATTCAGTGGTTACATTTAAAGTCAAAGATTCTTTTTTTATTAATATGTTTGCTTGTATGGTGGCACGGTGGTTAGCACTGTTGCCTCACAGCAAGAAGGTCCTGAGTTCAATTCCACCATCAGGCCGGGGTCTTTCTGTGTGGAGTTTGCATGTTCTCCCCGTGTTTGCGTGGGTTCTCTCCGGGTACTCCGGCTTCCTCCCACCGTCCAAAGACATGCAGCTTGTGGGGATAGGTTAATTGGATAATCCAAATTGCCACTAGGTGTGAATGTGCGAGTGAATGTGAGTGTGAATGGTTGTCTGTCCCTATGTGTTAGCCCTGCGACAGACTGGCGACCTGTCCAGGGTGTACCCCGCCTTTCGCCCTATGACAGCTGGGATAGGCTCCAGCGCCCCCCGCGACCCTGAAAAGGATAAGCGGAAGCGAATGGATGGATGGATGTTTGCTTGTATTCACTTTTTCATATTTTTAAATGTTTTCATATTCCCCCCTAACGGTATGTGCGTCTGTTCACTTTTACACATTAGACAACTACGATGCAGAAGGCTACAACCCAGAATCTCCAGGCCTGACTGTAGCAGGACGTAACCCATATCGTCAGTTTATTCCCCGGGTGCAGACTCAACGCTCCAACCTCATTGGCCTCACCTGCAGTGAAGGTCAAGGCTCCAGAGGTAACAACCTCATTTACAGTGTTTTTTTTTTTTGTTTTTTTTTAATTCAACCTGATCCTGGGAAATTGACCTTCTCAGACTGATTTGACTTCTTGCGTATCTTCTAGCTGCCAACATAGTGATCCAGACAGAGCCAGCTACTGCACCCAGCACTCCTGGAAGTAACGTGTCCCGTTTCAACACAGAGCAGGACAGCAGGAAGAGGACCATGGGACCCAGTACAGCTGAAGGGCCAGCACCTAAAAAACCCTGGATGGAAAAGTAAGAGATTAAAGAAAAAAATCTACATATTTGATTTAGGATGTCATTTATTCTGCACAGTGTTTTGTTTTCTGTGAAGAAATTGGAGTACGGTAGCAGCTGAAATGTAATCAAGTTGGTGCCTCACTCCATTACTTATTACTGCTAAGGAGCTTTGTTTTAAGGTGAGGTGAGTCAGGTCAGCAGCAAGTGTTGTCTCAGTTGTAAGCAGGTAGATACAAGCATCCCAGTCATGAGGATTTCTTTGCATTACCTCTACTTGGAGTACATTTAAACTGTCATACAGGTTGTAGGTTGGAAGTAGTCTTCTTTAAATAAAACCATAATATGGCCAAAACTTGAATCCCAGATCATCAATCATCGCTAAATTTTGATTAACTCATCTGCTTTTTTCCTTCATTTATTATTTTTTTTATGAAAACAAAACTGCCAAATTAGTGATGTTAGCACTGAAATGTTCTTTTTAGGCCAAGCTTCAACAACCAGCATAAGGGTGCTTTTCCCAAGAGGACTTTTTACGTGAACACAAAGTTGGAGGTGCGCAGGATCCCGCGCGAGCTCAACAACATCACCAAACTCAACGAGCACTTCAGCAAGTTTGGAACCATCGTCAATATACAGGTAAAATGCATCCAGTTTTTTTTTTTTTTTGTTGTTGTTGTTTTGCTTTTTTTAATGAGTGCTCCCCACAAAGTTCATAGACATTAGGCCTGCAGGAGAATGAATTCAAAACATTTACGGACTTGCACGTGCACTCTCAATCCAGGTTGTGTTTGGCGGAGACCCAGAGGCAGCATTGATCCAGTACACAAAGAATGAAGAAGCCAGACGAGCCATATCCAGCACAGAAGCGGTCCTTAACAACCGCTTTATCCGCGTGTACTGGCACCGCGAGCTTGGTGCTAATGCCACAGGCCTTCAGCAGCAGGAGCAAAGCTCAGGGAGCCAGGTTGCCGGGTCAGTGCCCAACCAGGGGCTGCAGCACAGCAACATGCATAAAGTTGGTATTAACAGCGGAGGCATTGAGAATCCTTTGATGACAATTTTATATATTTTTAAAATATCCATTGATTTACCCTCACTCGTTTTATCTGCAGGGGATCAAGCAGCACAATCCAGCTGCTTATGTGTTGAACAAGACTGTACCCAAGCATCATCTGTCTGCAACAGCTGGGGCCACGACAAATGCCAAGTCGGACAACCTGAATCCAAACACGGACACGGCTGCTGTATGTTTTAAGTTTATCTTGCAGACAATATCAGGCAAAGTGGATATTATATAATATACAAAAGTATAATATTATGATGGCACGTGTGTTACAACATTTTCACAGTGATTTATGTGTGTTTGTTAGCTAAAATTGTATTTGTAAAGAAATTAATTATATATTAATTTTCCTTTTTTTGCCCCTCCACCTTTCTCCTTAGGTGGTGCCTGCTACTACGAACACCCTGAAGGGACACTACACTTCCACAGCCGCCAAGTCTTCCTCAAAGAGCCTTGGGAAAACGGGAAAAGCACTGGAAGCACATGAAGCTCTCAAGAAAAAGCAGGCACGTTGCTTAACTTGGTTATGCATTTTGACCATTAAAAGAATAGCAGAGCTAAGCCATTTCCTTCTCTCAGGAGCCACAGCTAAGAAGGCTACTACCACTGAGAGAGAAAACTGTTTGGGGGTTTTTCATCTCAGTGAATGTTTTTGCTTCCCTTTTTCTTTTTCCCCTCCTTTAGGAGGCACTAAAACTCCAGCAAGACATGAGAAAGAAGAAACAGGAGATGTTAGAGAAACAGATTGAGTGTCAGAAAGTAAGACATTTAACATTGAAACTATTCTTATCTGTAATCCTTCCTCTTTTTCTCCAGTGTACTGTCAACGTTGTTTCTGATACCATTTTTCGTGCCCTTCCAGGCGCTGATAAGTCGACTGGAGAAAAACCGAGGCATGAAACCTGAAGAGAGGGCCAACATCATGAAAACACTGAAAGAACTAACGGAAAAGATCACCCAGCTCCAGAATGAAATGAACCTTGCCTCCCAGGTCTCAAGCGCCAAAACTAACCACAGCCAGCCCAAAACCAAGACTGATGTAAGTTTGGCTTCCTTTTTGTCTTTGTACGTAACTGAGAGTAGGGGCGGGAAATTTAGGCCGAAAATTATATCACACATTGGTAGAGTTGTTTATTTGCCTTTTTTTCACACTTCACAGGTCCTTTTTAAAAAGGCGTTTCTTCACATAAAAAAGATTTTTATATGAAGAATAAAACTGCATACATTGAGTAGGTAGATGTTTATGAGTTTAAATTTTTTTATATACATTTTGTGTACTCTAAACCTTAGATGCTGGTGGATTAAGGTATTTATGGGGTCTTTATTAAGCAGTAGAAAGAAAGAACCTCCAGATCTCAATTTATAATATCTTAAAAATATTTGCTGTGTGTTTTCTAAGTTTAAGAACTATATAATATCTCTGAGCCACTGGTAAAGGAGAGGGGGAGTACATTTCTTTCTTCTTTTTAGGGTTAGACAGCTTGCCTCAAGTGTGCTGACCGCATCAGGGGGGGAGGGGGTGAGAGTGCGTAGGATTCCACTGATGTTAAACCAAAATGTGTCAAAAAACATTCTCTATAGGCTCTAAAACTACTTGGCCACAAGGTATAGACATTTACGTATATACAGGATATGTGCACACAGGCTGTCCTATATACCAAGTGAATAACCAATAACCGCTCAGCCTCAACAAATCTTTGCTGTTTTCACATTCGTTTTCTCCTCTTTACATGTAGTTGTGTCCTAGTCCTAGGCCCTTTTCAGATTTCAGCTGTGTGATGTTGAGTTCCTATATGAGTTCCTGTACCTGGGATTGGGTCCTTTTTAGTCTGAATGCAATGAAAAAAATGGTTCTTTTGGGGGGGGGGTTGTTATTTTTCCTGGAAATTCCAAGGAATGCTTATCTTTTAATCCATATTGAAAGAAACGGTTCTTACACTAATCTTAGGTTTGCAAAAATTGAAAAAAGATCAAAAAGTCAATGTTGGTTTTGTACAGGACAGAAGTAGAGGATCTGTTTGAATATTGGGTGCATAGGAATAAAGTTTTGGGTTTTTTTTGGTTTTTAATCACAATTTCGATTCACACAGTTTTGTGTTGATTGACCTTTTTAGACCAACAAGCACGCTCCCCCCCCCCCCCCCCTCTCCTTTATTTGTAAACACAAGTTGATATTTGTGTATTTAATTGCTTCTCTGGATTAAGTAAACAAATTTCTTTTCTATGACATGCGATCAGGCCCACAAGGAGCTGCTAGATGCTGAGCTGGACTTTCACAAGAAGATGAGCTCTGGAGAGGATACAACAGACCTCAAAAGAAAACTGGGGCAGCTACAGGTGGAGGTAATTCTCTCTCTCTCTCTCTCTCTCTCTCTCTC